TTATCTTGTTTATCATCAACATTTATTACTCTCGCATGTTGCTGGTACGACATCGTATAAAATGAGCATATGGATTGAAAATAAACTCCATATTGATAATACAAATGGAATAATTAGACGAGTCAATTTGATTTGACTTAATTTACGAAGTTGTGAACTATGGGAACTTGTGCAAAATCGATCAATACATGCGAGAGTAATAAATGTTGATGATAAACAAGATAAAAAGTATATGAAATATTGTTGTAATTTACACCAAATTACAGTGAAATTAATATAAGTAAATAATGGTGGATTTAAATATCGAAGAACATCAGTCATAACAACTGCATTCATTATACAAAAGTCAGTGAGAGAAGCTGAAAGAAAATATAATGAACAGGGATTTTTACGGAATTTTTTTTGAAGAAGTGTAATCAGATTTAATAATGAACCAAGAATTCCACTACTATAAATGAATAACAACATATATTTGTCCATTTTTGGGAGAATCAGCAAAGCTCGTGATAAATCAGGTAAGACTTCATTACTTTGATTTGTTGAATTCGACATGTTTTCTTCGTTTAATGAAGAAGTTTTGTTCTTAGTGAAAAAGATTATATTTTTGAAACTTCAATATGAAAATCCGAATGTCTAATCATATCAACACGGTTCCCAGTTACGGGTGTCAAAGACATAAATAGATTTCTAATTACATTCTACTCAATAAGTCCCGGATGAAAGTTTCAAGAATTTATAACTGAAGAAGAGAATACAATATGTTTAAAGTTCTTCTTTCAATAAGAATCATTAAATATGTAAATTATCATATATCGGATTTCTTCCGAAGAATCTCATGTATTTTTGGAATAAATCAAATGAAATATTCAGCTAAAGATAACCATCTTGAACATGTGAGTGTGAATGGGTTTATCTCTTTCTCATGTTCATTTTAATAATGATACTTAGCTTCATATTGCTGTTATTCACTCTGTAGATATACATCTTGGAATGGTTTTTCTTAGAAAATAGTCACGAAACTATACACATATTTATTGAACTAGACATTGTGTTTTAATTTATAAAGAATATATTGTCTTAATTAATTTGAGCCTAAGAGAAATTGATTCATAATTATAGATTTCTTTGAAGTAATTTATGTTCTGTTTTTGTTTATTTGCTAAAGAAACCCTTTGAATTTGTTATCGTCTGTTTAATGAAGTTCAATGTTATCATACGACTACTTCAATCATTTTTCTTAATCAACATGAAATAATTCATATTGAAAATTGAAGAATAGTAACTCAAGTTTAGTTAGACTTTTACCTGAAAGAGATACGACGTCATTATGCCACACAATCTCAATATAAATTTCAAAACAAATATTAACTTCCCAGCAAATATACAATGTGCTATGAAAATAAACATTTGAAAATTTTGAATACAAAATTAATGAAAGATGCATTGAGTAAATTAACTTTATAAGCTGATAATTTATTCTGAAAAGTTGAATTGATAAACTTAATCTTAATATTCATCATATTTGCACCATTAAAATCTGTTTCATAAAGAAATTTACATACAATAAATGTTGCATTTGTTAAATCAAATGATAACACTAACAAAGGTTGACATCTAAATGGATAAATACTCCGACTTNCACTATTTTGCAGCATTGAAATGTTGACCAGATATAGTTCTGCAACTAATCACTCAACAGATCTATACATACAGTTTTGTAGAGAATTTCATGGTCTATGTTTTTAAAAAAGTTCAACTATATACGTCATAATTTGAGCAAGATATTGAAAAAATACGTAGAGGCTCATTTAACCTGGGACACCCGTTATTTTGAATATTTGAAATGATATTTTTTTGTTTCAGTTCGTTTTCACTATGAAATTGTCATTATACTTTGATACAACTATGAGAAAATAACAAAAAGTAAATCTCATACTTTTGTTTGTTTTTCAAACAGCGTATTCAAGTTTTTTTTTAGATTGTTTATCTTAAAAAGATCAATGACAATGTGAGTTGATATAGTCTGTACTCATTTCATCCATATTTACACTCTCAAGATATATATTTAATCGAAATGATATCATTCCAATGAAAACAAAATCCGTTGTTTTTTCTCTGAACAATAATCAAATAGAAAAGAACAATATGTTAATGCAACAATTGATTTAAGTCATTAATTTTCTCTTCAGTATCTTTGATATACTGATGAACATCGAAATGTGACATTTCTTTGTAAATATTTAATGCCATATGAAAATTTTCATAGGATAACTCGTATTTACCTGAGTGTTTAAAAATATCTCCTAAACGTGAATGATGTTCAGCTAACATCTGCTTTTTGTCATCAATACCTGATTTACTGTTATCAATTTCTATTTTTTCACCATATTCGTGTTGAAGTAATTCTTATTTTAATGCCAATTCGTAATTTTGTTTATGTTTTAGATAAATTTTACTTAATTTGCCATAAATATCAAAGAAATCACAAATCGTTGATTTTGTATTTTCACTGTTTGATAATTGTTGAAGAGCCTTTTCATACGTAACAATGGCTTTATCATAAACATGTATTGCCTTGTAAACTCTTGCAATTTCGTTTAAAATACAAAATTTTGGCAATTCTTGTTTTTTGTTGACATCCTGAATAATATCCATTTTATTTTCATATAAAATGCCCAATTGTTTGTATAATTTTAATTTTTCATTGTTACTGAAGAATTGATTTAATAATGCTTTTTCATAATTTCTAATAGCTAAATCGGTTTGATTCAAGACTATATTTCGATCGTGAGAATGAACACGATAACACATAGCCATATCGGAATGTATTTGTCCAATTTGATTGAAATGATTCAATTTTTCATCATGTTTTAAGTTTGACCACAAGTTAATTGCAAGTTCAAAGTTAGAAAGAGCTAAAATACGTTCTCGTAGTTGAAAATGCTGAAAGATTCCCAATGTGTGATATTGAATAGCTGATATCCAATTTGATTCTGATGGATAAATTTCGAATAATTGACGAAATATCGTTTGTATATCAGAGATCGTAGTGTTACAAATATTTTTTCATGGCGTATGGAAGTAAAGTGATACATCGTCTCAAATTGACCCGAAAGTCCGAACTTTTCAGATCATCTTCATAACCAACATTGTTTATTTCTCTCTTAAATAATTCTAATTCAATGATCCAAATGTGTTCATTTTTATTATAATAAACGCCATTTTCACGTATCTCAAACCATGTTCCAACCATAAATAATATTTCTGATTCGCTATCGAAATAACTTAGATGTGCAATATTGGCAAAGGGACGTGATTTTGTCTTCATATCTACGTTAATTTGAAAGAGAACACTCTGAATATCATTATCAGGATCTATTTGTTTGTTTAAATAAATCGATGCTACTCGACGATCTAATGTAGTCGATAAAAGACTCGTATTAACAATCACTGAGCCATCGAAAGGTAGATGATAACTGCGACTCGTGAGAGATTCAATTTCATTGCGCGACAAAAATTGTCCGCGATAACATGTGAACGTGTGTATGTTGTTTTGTTGGTTGTAATGTTCACTGTCGAGTTGTTGGTGAAGATCTTGAAGGAAAAAACCATAGAGAAACAATTGTTCAATTTTGTGTTGTCGAAGAGCTCGATTTAAAGATTCATATAGAAATGTATCCCGAGTGTACCATTGAACAGCATTTTCCATACGATAATCTTGTTCAAATTCTTGAAGATAATTTAATTTTGATTTGTCATTTGCGTAGAATATTTTCAGAGATTCAATAAAACGTTGACGAGAATTCTCTGGATATGGTAAATAAATCCAAAAATCAACTAATATTGTCCACGACGAATCGAGTTCGTCTGTACTCTCATCTTTTACTGCTTTAAAATG